TTTTTTTTTTTTTTTTTGGGTTTTTTTATTCACATGGGCAAAAAAGTTTAATTCTAAAAAAATACATAAATATATATTATTGGATACATGATCGACCTGGATGTCTATCTACTCTAAGAAAGACAACAATGACAATTATGGGAAGCCAATAAAGTACCTAACTCAAAATACGGTAACACGAAGTGACGAAGCAGGCAAGATATAAACTTATTTATTTTCAGCTCTAAGTTGATCTTAGGTTCAAATTTTATATACATATATAGTTTGAGGGGATGACATTGGCAGTGCTAAAGAAATAACCATTTAGTTGAGATGATTTAGTGCACCTTCCGATTCTTATTTCCAACAATCTATGTAAAAACATGAAATATGTTATTATTATTAATATTATAGTTGGAGATAGGGTAGGGTAGGGTAGAGTGGGTGGGTGGGGGCTACGAGGGACTCAATTCAAAGAGTAACCAAAGTGCGACAGTGAAATGAAGCGTAGCTTGTAAGTTGATGCAAGGCATAATATGCATACACTTTAATGCGTACAAGGTTGAACGATAGATCACTGTACAATGTGTGCATTGATTATTCACATGATGAACAACTGGGTTTATGATCTTGTGAAATTTCCTTCAATTCATTAAGGCAGCAATTATAAATATTTAAAAATAATAATAATAAGACAGAAAAGAAGTTTTCTATAAAAATATATGGAATGTTAAAAAAAGTTTACTCTAAAGTTCAAATGATCTCTAGTATCGATGATACGAGTCTCGTAGTGCTCATAGCCTCCATGCATGAATGCTTCTTTATGATCTTTCGCCAAGCAAGCGAAGAGCTAGTCAAGGCTGGAATAAAATACCGTATGTAGTGTAGACTGCTTAAGTTTTTCTTGCATTAATTGACTTCGCTAGTGAGGCAGTTCAGAGTAAAGGATCATCAATAAGGGCTTTCTACTGCTTTCTAAATTTTTGTCCAAAATTTGTATCATTTGATGATGCCATATGAATCGCTAAAAACATGTGAATTATATGGCTAATTTCATAAAGAAAATTTCGTAAGGTGGTCATGAGATGTTGATTCGTGCTAAGACGGGGAATAATGATTTTCTATTAGTTTTACTTCAGAAAATCAAAATCTTCTCCAAGCGTGCAAAGGTCGAAGTTTTGGTGCTAAAATAATGGTCCAATTGAGTCACGGGCTTTTGGTAATAAATATTAAAAGAAAATTATTTGAGATAATAATAGTTGTAGTAGTAATTTCCCTTTTTAATGTGAACAAGTATTGTCTTCATGCTACATTATAATTAATAACATTTTTCTAAATTAATCAAAATTATTATTTTTTGTCCTTTTTAAAATTAATTCCCATCTTCGAGCTCATTGTCTAGTCTCTAGGCCGGCACAGACTTTATATTGTTATTTATTGGTTTACTCTTGACTCCGAGAATGCATTGCGAATTTCATTTAAATAATAATCTTTCATATATGTATAATAATTATATTTTGCTCGAGAACTTGTATATATCCATCATCAAGATCTCATATTATGTTAGTGAGTTCAGAATTATATTTATCGTCAAGATCACCAATTCATCCCATTTTTAAGTGTTATTTTTCGACTTTCATTAGAACAAGAACGATCGTGAGATGTTGATGACTTTAAACCAACTTTATATGATTTTCTATGCATAATTGAAAATAAAACTATGTATATTAATATTATTGAGCCTTTGTCTATGCTAGACCTTACGTAGCACTATGCCACCTATAATTAGGGTAAGTCACCTATAATTAGGGTAAGTCCTGCAACCAAAGCCATCCTTTCCTTATCTTTTTATATTGCATTGCTTACAAATAATAAAGGTTTAAGCCTCGAGTACAGGCTTTTTGAACAGAATTTGGACAGGGTGCTAACGTGACAGCATCCTGTTGATCTGTTTTTCTTTCTTTTTTTATCGTCCAATAAAAACTCGTCAAGTATATTTTCTGTAATTTTTTTATTGAGTATTCCTGTACTTATAGCATCTCTCAATAATAAATAGCTAGAGCCTAATAAACCTTGTAAATATAGAAAAATAAGAAAACGAATATCACACGTCTTAAAATCAAATGTCCACTCTCCATGCAAGAATATCTTAATTTATACATTCATAATATATTTATTCGATACAATTGCGAAAAATTGCACCATTGGTCCTTAATCTATTCATTCAGTTGAAATTCATCTAAAATCTTTCATTATATTCCACAATCATACTGCACTATTGTAGCAAAAAACTGCACCGTTGGTCCTTGATCTATTCATTCACTGCAAATTTATCAAAAATCTTTCATTATATTCCACCGGCAACAGACCTGACTCTCAAATGCATCTATTGAAGCAGCACAAGTGTCGAGAGGTAATTCATTCATTGAATTTACAAGCAAAAGATTTATCATTTCTATGGGATTAAATCCCGAGTTATCGCGAAGTAAAACAAACTGAGTGTAAGTTAGGTTTGGGGATTTTAGCATGGCAATACATTTATACAAAACTTCTATCCCGAGCACACGCAATGGAACGATAGACATGTAAGTATTATGCCCTAGGTCCAATCAACTTTGGACATAAATACTTTTATATATAATTAATGCAATTAAATGGCAGATCTATTATTTAATTAATAGACAATTAAATAAATAATAGAGTCCGTAGATTCAAATCTTCGTAATTTGTTAATCACAAGGAGTTGTGATTGTGAGATACAAATTACATCTGATTGAATCTTAAATCGTCAGTGGTCGTAAGTGATAACGAGATACGGATATCGTTATTACGGATAGATCATCACGTGTGGCATTTCTTACTGGTGAAGTAAGTAGCTGATCTCACAAACTAAAGTGTGGTGACACTTAAATAACACGTGGATGTTTTGTTATAGAACAAAACATTGGAGCCCCGCCGAGAGATTCCACATGGATAACTATCTGAGTGTCAGTGGTTAATCTCTAACGTTCGGTAGTGGAATTGGTCCTTTGATTTGAGGTCGTCATAGTACCTTATACGGTTCGGGTACGTCAAGAATTGTATGAAGGTTGTGATTGCCCAATAAAGGATTCGTCACTCTTAGATAGTTGGATATTATGATCTATGTTTCATTCAATTAAGTCGATAACGAAATCTTCGGTCAAGGTGTACTCATAAGTCAAAAAAGAATTTTCGACTTATATTGACTTAATAGTGGAGTGAAAGATATGATCGAAATTCGGGATTGACACAATTTCATATCTCGTAATTGATCAGATCATATTGACGATGGGATTATAGTTTCACGATAAACAAACGAATTTGGTTTTGTCATACCACGTGACATTTCCCGTCACATGTATTACCCTGACACATTGCTAGATGTCAATCAGGGACGGCGAGTGTGAATTGACGATAAATTAAAAGGGTGTTTTAATTCATCAATTTTAATTAGATCAAAATAACATTTCACGTCGTTAGGCATCGTGGTCGGTAACCTAATGGGTCGTACACAAAAAGAGAATTGGAAGATTGCAAATTGCCAATTAGTTAATTTAACAATCGTTGGATAAATTAATTAATTGGATTTGTTATTTATATTCCCGAATTAATTAATTGGATTAATTAATTCACGGACCGAGTTTAATTAAATTGATTAATTAAATATTGGACCGAACCAGGCCGAGCCCGTTTGGGTTTATATAAATACATGGCTAGGGTTTGAGGTCCATATGGTTTTCATTATTCTTGCTAGCACAAGAGGAAAACCCTGGTAGCTGCAATCTTGTTCTCTGTGTGGATCACTGTTGGAGGCTGAACAATTGGACAGTTGTGGATGGCGAATCAAGATTGCTGGAACGAAGAGAAAAGCAAAAGGTTTGCAGAATTCTTCAAAGGTACAATCTTTATCATGATTTCTATCTAAACAAAAAGGGATCCTTGGTTGGAATCGAAATAATTTTAATTTTTCGATGTGCATGTATAAGTAAATTTTTAACAGTGGTATTAGAGCCTCCTTTATGTTTGTTAGAAGTTGATTTGTGTGATTGAACAGTCAAACGTTGATTGCGATTAATTTTCTCGTTTCTAGCAATTAGAATATTGTGAAATCAGATTTCAGAATGAATTAAAAAAAATTAGAGGTGGGAAGCCGGCAGCAACAGTTGCTGCCGGGGGTAGATGCCGCTGTTAAAAGTAGCAGCGGCAGATGCAGCAGCAGACGTCTGCCGCTACAGCAGCACTTTCGCGTTGTTGGGAAGAGCCATGGCGGCTCTTCCCGTCTAGGGGCGGTGGCGGTGCCATTGCGACGCCGCTAAATGAAGAACTCAATCAAGAAAAAAAATAAAAATAAATTTCTAGGTGAATTTTAGGGTTTCAGTCGTTGTGGGTAAATTGAAGGTGGGAGCCTCTGACGTAATTTGTGAAATTGTAGGCCTTCGTTTGCAATATCCATTTTGGGGTCAGTTTGTAAGTTATTTTAAGGGACCGTTTTGCATTATTTGATATTGAGGACCCTTACTTGTAATTTCACTTCGGTGGTAAAGTTGTAATTTTCAAATAAGGACCTATTTCTGTAATTTGTGAAATTATGAGGGTCGGTTCTGAAATTTTCAAAATTTTGAGGCTTTGATTATAAATTTTAACTTGGGTCAAATTTCAATCAATTTCCAAATGGTTTTGAATTGGTTTTAAAATTGTATTTCAAATGGGTTTTTACCTATTTTGACTAAAGTTTTAATTTTGACTCAAACTAAAAAAAAAAAATTATTTAAAATTGACGACTTTAATATTTTCGTTAAACTATGATTTTAACTTAAAAATTAAATTTTGACCCCAATTGAATTTTATTATATTTAGGAGTGTTATCCTAATTTAAAATATTGATTCAATTTAAATTAAAGTTGGACTCTAATTTAGGACTTAATTAAAATTCGATTTTAATTAATTTTTCACCTGAAGATATTTTAGAAATTAGAATTAGATTCTAACTTGACATTTAATTAAAATTTGTTTTTTAATTAAATTGTTTCGCCCTAAACTTTTCTTTAAATTAGAGTTAGACTCTAATTTGATGTTTAATTAAAATTTGATTTTGATTAAACATGTTCGCCCTAAAATCTTAGATTTAGAGTTGGACTCTAATTTTACCATTTAATTAAATTTGATTTTAGTTAAATTCATTCGCCCTTAAATATTGGAATTAGAGTTAGATTCTAGTTTTGTTATTTAATTAAAATTTGATTTTAATTAAATTCCACCGCCTTAAATTGTGAAATTAGAGTTTGACTCTAATTTGATTTTTAATTAAAATTTGATTTTAATTAAATAATTCCGCCATATAATTGTTGAATTAAAATTGGACTTTAATTTGGTATTTAATTAAAATTTGATTTTAATTAAACATGCCCGCTTATTAAATAATCGATTAATATGATTAATTGATTATTTAATTATTCGATCTATTTGTCTAAAAGAGTTTAGACGATTTAATTACTAGAAACTTGAAACTTATTCGCATATAATATTAGATATTATATAGGTATACATTTATTTGATGAATGTATTATTAGTGGACGATTATGGACTCGATCATATGGATGTGTTGAATGGTTAATTTTTATTCTTATTATTTTCTGGGCCTGCGAATTTTTAATTGTTTTGGACCTACGAGCTCGTTATTATTGTTATTATTTTGGGCCTGCGAACTTTTGATCATTTTGGACCTGGGAGTCCATTATTATTATTGATGTGGGCCTGCGAGTCCAATTTCATTTAGGTCTGCGTGCCAACTAGTATAGGATACAGGTTGCAACTGGACTAATTGAAAAAACAAGAAAAGGAGGAGACCATGGAGATGGTGCATTGACACTGTTCAATGCTATACCCCCTAAGAATTGGCCAACTAGTCTTCCTTATGACTCGAGAAGACTATATAGTAAAAGTCCATTATCGTCCACACTATTATATTATGTTATATATATTTATTTGCATGATAGATTTATAATAATATATATATATGATTGTATCGTTGTTGATGAGACTTTTGAATGCAAAATCCCTCCACAAAATATTAAGTCACATTTGTAATTGCCTTCCATCATTATAGTAAAAAATCAGAGTCCCAAATCGTCTCAATTTGTTGAGTACACTCAAGGCTAGTCTATTAGGGATATGTTTGACACTATGAAATATTAGATACTTCTGAATGATGGGTTTGACTTAACTAAAATTTATTTTTTGTTGAGTACACTCAAGGAAATAAACTTTAGATGCATGTTAAGCTAACACATAAGATGTGTGAAAACAAAGAGTTGTCAGCTTAATGATCTGGGAGTTGTATGGAGATACAATTGATAATAGTATCTACCCAAATGTTATATTAAGGTTTGTTGAGTACACTCAAGGTCTTAATATAATAGATGAGATTCCAGCCCACTGGGAGTCAAGTATGGATTCCATAAATTTATGTAAGAGGGTCATAAATTTGTATTAAACAGTGGGAACATAATTAACTTAATAAAAGTCCATGTTAAATTAATTGATGCATTTTATATATTATTCTTTTTCTTTTTGTCATTTATATTTCTTGAATCGTGAGTAACCATGAGTATTTGAATGACATACTAGATGCCAACAACCAAACTATATTTTCTTAATTAACACCGCAATTTGAGAATTGTTCTCAT